CATAATCTTGCAAACATCTCCAAATTAGGATTACAAGGTTAAAGCAGAATAGCTTTACATTACTCCATGCTGCCATCCTGTTAACTCTTTTAAATCTCAACTCTCAACCAGCCTTAATAAACCATTAGCTGCATTCCCATTACAGATGTGGGCAAAAAATATGTCAATACGCTAATCAATTCAGAAATGAAAAGTTTAGCAGTTGCGATATTTTAAATATATGCAGATCACGACTGTTTTAATTAAACGAAAAGGGGTTTTCATTGAAAACTTAATATAAGAATTTGATACGAGCAAAAATCCCACCGCATCAAAGCGTAAACATTATTTTTTTCAAAATTGCAGTGTTTCCAATTAACAATTTTATTTTAGAAATTGCAATATGATGGTTAATAGAAAAACAGCTAGAGATGTGTTTCAACATAGGCTAGAAATACAATTTTGTTTTGAACTAACTAAAATTGTCTTTCATTGTATTGAAATATTTAATTTTCAGCTATAGATTTTATTTAAACTTTCTCAAAAGCAAAACAAGAACATTTTGGGAACCACTGCATTAAACCAGAATTCTGAACTACTCCTGACCACCAGTTAATAAGAAGCAGCAACAATAATGTACGAAAGTATAACAGTGGCAAAATACTTACATCTCCTTTCTCTCATCCTTTTTATGTCTTCATCAGTCTAAAGAAAAAAAAAAGAAAATGTAATTAATTCATAAGAATTAGTTAAGTTAATGTAACCATTTAACAGGACTCAGGGTGTTTTTTTTTTCTTACAAGTTCTTTAATCTGCTTTCTGTGTCTGGTGTAAGGGTTTTTGAGATGGCTTGTCAAATCAAATATGGTTGGAATGGCTGTATCCTTCAGGACTGTCCTATAGGGACTCTGAAATATAAAGCCATAGTGTAAATTATACATAACTATGAGATGTAAAAAAGTGCATAAAACAAATAAAAGCATCTAAAGGAGGAAAGGAGTGGTGTGGCTCACCGTTTTGCACACCAGGGCTGGGTCAAAGTGTTTGGCACATAACCTGTAATGCTTATTCAACTGGTCCGCTGTTTTGGCTTCTAGATCTGCTCTGCGGCAATTCTCTACCCAGATTCTGCATCTAAAAACAGATACACATACCAGGTTATAAAAACATGCCATTTCACTTTCTCTTTTGAAAATGTAGTCACACTCTCTAGAATAAGTGTTTCAATAATTTTATAAGTATCTTTTTACACTATTATGATTCAAACATTAGATTTTTTTTTAAGCGAAGGAGATCTTTCTCATTTGTTCCTTGTAGTGGAAACTTGAAATGTTTGATCTTAGAATCCAGTGGTGTAATTAAATACCTTGAAATCTGCATTACTGCTGGAAACTGAAACATGCCATTATATACTTAAATAAATTTTTGCAAAGTTTCGAGCATTAATGTAAGTATAGGCAGATATTGAACACTTCTAATCACAAAAGTAAGCCAATAAGTAAACCTGAGCTGGTATTGTTTATTTCAATCTAACTGCTATTTTTTCTTTTTTTAGGAGAGAGAGCGGGCTGGACTGGTTATACGACACTGATTCAGCACCCATTTGTCACCATGGGTTCATCTGCTTTTCACTTCCAACCCATTCCTTATAAAAATCTGTATTTTATTAAGATACAACATTTATTGTTTTATCTCTGTGAAAATGTATGCTTTCAATGGACCTTTATCATTAACAATTAAGATATAAGAAAAATATGTGAATTGGATAACTTTAAATCTGTAAAAATATAGAATTTTGACACGAAAGATGAGTAGAAACCCAGATACAAAATAGACTAGGAGGAAATGCCTTTCAAGTGTCTGAAAGTCGTGTACAGTAGGGCAGTTTCTAGTAAAGTAAGTTAACCAGGCAGCAACTGTCCAGGTTAAAGTGCGAACAAAGTGATGAGACTTCATAGTTACAAGACTTTAAGATAGGGTTGCCAGATGTCCGGCTTTAGAGCAGCCCTCACTGTCCGGCGTTGCATCCAGCTGGACGTGTATTTTTCCTCCTTTATGAGGCACTAGGCTTGTAGAGCAGATTTTTATTAACTTTTTTTTTTGCTGGGCTGCAGCACAATATCCAATCATCAAAAATGCATCACTATCTGATCTAACAGATGATTGGCTAAGAGTGGCAGATAAAGATCTGCTTGTCATTGGTTACAAAAGTAAACAAGGATCAGAATTACTGATGCTAAGTATTAAAGTTAGCGTCCTGTCAAAACCAGGACGTCGTTTAACCCAGAATGGACAATAGAGCGTGAATTTATGACCAAAGGTAGTGGAGATTCATTTCATGGTTTCTGCCACTTTGTCGATGTGATAACTGAACAGCGTGCGAATACGGATTAACATAAAAGTAATAAACGTGCAGCAGCGAACTCTTCAATGTTGGCTTTTACATTAAGTTTTGTCGCCCCTGGATGCTAAAAATAACTTGTGCAGAGCTGCAAGGTGGACTATACTATAAAACATCACTTGTCCTACGGAAGTGTGGACTGTGACGTGAAAGTGGATTTCAGTGATTCGCCCATAGCTAAAGGGATGACCATCTGCTGGACACACAGACACTTAAGATAAGTTCCCAAAAGACTGAGGCTCTTAAAAATAAATCTATACTTTTAGAGGAGTTGAATGTGTTTTCTACAATCTCTTTTCTTGTTTAAAAAAATATTAGGCCATTTTATTATGAATGTTTCTTGTTAAAAATATTTTTTTAACATTTAAGTCCACACATCTTATGCTTTGTGGTATTCTGCATTTTAAAGATTATTCTTGGTTGTCTCTTTTTAAACAGCACAATGTATTAAATAAATACAAATACTGGGAACCAATTCTTTTTTACATTTCTTTAATATTTTGTTCTATTCAGCTACACAAGCATCCTCTTTAAACTACTAAGAATTGTACTATAAATGTGACTTTAAGATGAATATCCAAAAAAACAGACAACTGTCACTTAAAAAAAAAACATATTCCTTTAAATAGAACACAACTCAATATTCTACTGCGTTCTGCACTATTTATTTTGCACTAAACTTTTCTTTTCCCTATGAAAGTCTTTTCCTTTTCTTTTAATCTGTGTTTATTACTAATCGCTGCTTTACTTTAAAATAAGTAATGTTCATTTCACTATTGTAAACTGCTCATTCACAGTTGTAAGCTGTATGCAACCAGATTTCGTTGGACAATACACTCTGTGTATACAAAATAACAATAAAGTTTGTCTAATTCTACTTCAAAGATACTCCAAAGCTGACGGAAGTAGTTGGAGAGGAAAGTAAAATAGTGTAAAACTGTCATAATTTCCTAACTTTTACATTTTTTTTACTAGCTATTAACTGCAAAAAAGCCAGTTTGTATTTAAACATGAACATAAACCCAACATTAACAAAGAGCTCTTGTACATTTTAATGTGTGCTTTTTTTTAAAAGACTTTATTATCGTTATTGTAAGTTGGGTATTTTATGCTACCTTACCTCTCAGGGTCCCGTGGAAACCTAAAAAAAGCCAAATCTGACTGAGTACTCTTCCGTGTACAGTTTGGAGCCGCGCAAAAATTTGGCATGCTTAAGTCTGTGCCGTTAGCTTAGCTAACCTCGCTGACTAAAGTCGTTTTATACCGTAATAGTTCTTTAAAAAGGCAGGTTCACAGAGTGGTTCTTCTATCAAAGAGGGACATTGATCTTATCTCATAAACCACATATAAACAACAAATACAGGGCGCATTAACATCTCCGTAATAGCGCTAAAAATCGACGGTTATATTTGTAATTTGCTATCTCAGTATGCAACACTATGGCCCGCCCACGATGAACGTAATTGGAGCATGTAAAATCCCCCGCCCAGCTATTGGTCAATCAAATTATCAGACAAACCAATGAAATATCGACTAAATATTTCTTCTTCGGTCTTTCTGACGTAGGTAACCTTCACGTCTCATGACACTCTGCTGCCATCAAACGGCCACTGATAGTAGCAGAGATCAAACACCTACGTTTGTGCGACTGCAATGTCGTGAGTTCCATGTTATTCAAAAAACCTTCCTTGTAAACCATCATTAAATCGATTATGGTTTTAAAACATAGTAAACCTTCATTTAAATTTATTGAGGTGATAACATACTACCATAAGATATATTTATTGTTTAAATATAAAATAAAGACGGTGAAAACAACAAAAAACAAAGTGCAAAGAAAGCACTTTTGCTTGTCTTAAAGTTAAAGTCTGACCACAGATCCTAACGTTTATATGCTGTGTGTTCTTTTACGCAGTGGAGCAACTCGTTCTGCCTGTTTTTAACGTCGAGTTGTGTGTGGCGGACGCATCGCGCGTAAGAAGTTCTATAACATTTTCTACACCATATGATCCAGTCCCCGGTTTTCCCAGATGTCATACTTAGTTGTCGAGTCAATATCACACCTCAGTTCCCATTGTGCACCGGCTCGTTGGTCTAGGGGTATGATTCTCGCTTAGGGTGCGAGAGGTCCCGGGTTCAAATCCCGGACGAGCCCTCTTTTGCTGTCCGATCTTCCTCAGCTTCTTTAAAACTTACTTACAAAGTTTCCTTTGTATGGGCTCCTGCTGCTGTGTCATGAACTAAGTAAAAAGGAAACATAATATATTTTAAATCACAAAATTTTAAATACGCTGCTATTTGCAGAAGTTATCTACAGTTTTTGCTTTAAAGATTAATTTTACTTCCACATATTGAAGAATCGCCAGAAGAAAACAGGGCTCGTCCGGGATTTGAACCCGGGACCTCTCGCACCCGAAGCGAGAATCATACCCCTAGACCAACGAGCCACGAGGAGTTACACTACGCCATCTCAATAGAAAATCAACAATATACAGATACGAGACAGCACTGTTATGTTTTAATGTTGGGTATTGTTTGTCGTGTGCACGGATGGAAGATTATTCACTGCAGCAGTGGTGTAAAAATAGTTAGAAAGAAAAACAATGATGACACAAAGTAATTCAATTAACTTCTTTTATATATCATACATAAGACTGTCTTAATATAATACAAAGGGCATTGTCATAAACACAGCAAAGTCTTGACTAGATCTTACAATCTGTGGATACATGGACTTATCCTTTCCCCCATGCTGTTCGATTCTATAGTGCATGTTGCATGTACAAAAAAAGTGAAAAAGAGTGAAATAAAATAAAAATAAGATGGGGAAAATAATGCTAAATCCAAGTTAAAGAAAAAAAAAGGATTTCAACTTCGGTTGGGTGTTTAGATATGTCAACAATTATCTGTTTGTGTGTAATTCACAAACTCAACAGGCTTTTGAACGATGGAACCATTTTTTTCAACCATGTGCTTCTCATATAACCAAAAATTAAGGTTTGTGATGTACATGCACTTACAATATACCCTGTGAAAATTATTAAGGTTTGAAGATCTAGCTTTCCCTGTTTGATTCAAACCCTACCTCATAGTGTTGTCCTGATGTAGTCAAGTACCTTTGCCAAAAGGCAAGGTTTTGCCACTAAGAAAACAGGAGTTCCTGCCCACTGAATGGTCACCAAATTGACAAACATAATCAACATACCAGCAGGAGCAAGGTAGTGAGTTCTATACTTCCTTTATTAAAAAAATATAAATATATACATAAATTCTATTTCAACTATTAAAAAGGGGCTGCATTTCATGACAACTGCTCTAAATAAGAGGTCAATCAGCATGATCTGAAATAGGCGCACACTTACGAGTCACTGCAGTCAATTTTTTTCTTTTTCAGTCTTTATTTTTGGAATGTTTAGTACCAGTATGAATGCCAGTAATAAAATCCACTGACAAAGATCTAAATGTCTCAAATTCAGTGGGGTATGAAAAAAATGATTGCAAATCTGCAATTAACCTTGACATCCAGATCAAACCCCAATCTTCAATATAGGTAGCTTTACATTTGTGTTCGTGGAAATACCAAGCATGACTTCTAAAAGGATGGTTTCTCTTAGAAAATGACAACAGCATGACCTGTGACCTGCCCTTAATTGGCAAGGTGACAGTGGGCAGTTTTTTTTTATGTTAGTTTTTATTTTTCAAATTTCATAAAAGTGGTAAAAATCAACAACAGAACAAAGAAAGCACTTTAAAATCCCTGATATAAAAAAAAAATATTTCTGGTCATTGATTAATGTTGAGGACATGCATGTCTGCTTAGAAAAGCACCGTTATGGTTGGGCTGACAAGACACCTTTTTTTCCCCCCTTTGAAAAGGACAATCATGGGGATTTGTCCAACCAAATCAGAACTATACCATTCAACACAAACTGGTTTACCACAAATACCCTTACCCTGGCAAGACAATGACAAAGTCTTGCTTAACGGCAGAAACTAGCTAAGTTGACCAAATGATGTATGAAAGGCAGCAACACCCTTTGAAATAGTATGATGACGGGGAAGGGGGAGGGGTAAAAGAAAAAAAAAACAACAACACAGAAATAGAACGCATTAGTCTCCTTTTTTTTCTTTTTAAACCATCAGCTTCTATCTTGCTACTCTGTAGCCTGCAGAGTAACTACCAAGTTCTCTAACATACCAAAGTTTTTAAAAGACTCCCAAAATAATCTACCAATTATTATGGAAAAAACAAGTTTTGGTAAAGGTTGCAAACAAATCTGGCCAGAATACACAATAGCCAACGGTCTCAACGATGGTCTCCAGTTTTGCTAAAAGTAATATATTGCAGCTGTTTGTGTTGACGTTAAAATAAGATCTCAATAAACTTTTGCGTCAAAGTGGTGAACTGCTACATTATTGGTTACAGACACCTATATGCTATAAAACAACTGCTTTGGTATAAAAACATATCCAAAGGGAAAATAAATCCTTGTAAAATTCACAGCATAATTTGAGGAGAAAAAAAGGCAGTCACTTAAATCATTTTTTTCTTCAGTTTCCATGTTTTGGATGGAGAGACTTGTGCAGGTGGTTTCTGATGAGGGACTACATGCAAAAAAGAGGGTGGGGCATTAAAAAAACAAAAGAAAACAAAAAAAAGGTAGACTCTGGAATAGAAAGTTCTTTCCACTGCAAAATCCTTAACCAGTGAATTTTAAGGAAGTAATGTTTAGGAGGTTGTTGTGTACAATAAGACCCTGTTATGTGGGGCCCCTGCTGAAGACGAAATCTTTGAGAAAGGCCTCAGATTACCATTCTTATTTACCTTTTCTAAGTTGGTTTAATTTCCTTACAGAATTAAGGGCTGTCTAGAGAGGAAAAAAAATAAAAAATAGAGAAAGCCATCTTAATTCAAATGATAATGTCCAGCTCCATTTTCATTCCAAGTCCATGAGTCATAAGGCCAAAGGGTTATCTAGAACCAGCCACTGACTGTCTTCCTTTCACCGGGCCGGATCCTTCCGTCTCCCGTGCCCATCGCTGCTCTCGCCTGTGCTGGGCCCCCAGTTGCATCCTGCGGGGCAACAGGGCCGCTGGGCATGAGGAGGTGGTGCCTCCCTCCTCCTTTAACCCCGGCTGGTGTCAGTTCCACCCCGCGGGGAATCTTCCTTGTCACCAGGCCAGCACATGCGTAGGGACTCCACTGCTATGTGCTCCCCTTTAACAGAGTCACACAAAACCGACCAACAAGAAATATCACCGCAAAAAAACTTCCCCTCGTTGTCAAGCTACAGGATTTACAAGCAGCTTTTATGTGAATTTCATTTTGAGTAGCAAAAAAAAAAAAAAAGACAAAAAAAAAAAAAAAAGGGCAAAAATAATTACTGACGGTGGAACAGTAATGTCAGGCGCTCCACAGTTTGAACCTAAAGACGCCAAGCATTTCCTCACCAACAGCTAGCTGCGAAACAGCCTCCATCTTTGCTCCTGAAATGCTCATTTAGAAGATTTTGCCACATAATACCATATGGTGATTACTTTGTGGTTACATGAAATTGGTGAAATGGTAAGATGGATGTCTCAATCTCACTATGGTTATTCCGCAGTATTATTTTGTGCCTAATGATTGCAAAAGAAAAAACTGATAAAAATTACATATATACTTTTAACAAAGGTTTTTTCTCTGTTGTAGCGGTTCAGTGATATCTCCCTTCTGACGTGAGCAGCTTTTGTTCTCAACACACCTTGTAGTAAAAAACACCACCTTAAAAATGACGCACAGGGGGAACACACAGCCAAATGTCAGTGCAGTCACGAGCTGGCCATAGAACTCTGCTGCACACATACTCCAGTCATTGGAGACTCCTCCCGGTCCATGCCCTGCCTCATGCCGAGGTGGCCTTCCGCTAGGTAATGGCCAGGCCCTGTGTTCGTGCCCATGGAGAATGCAGGGTGCGCTGCCATGCCAGTCTCCTGTCGTGGGTTCGAGAAGGCACCTAGCCCCATGCTCAGCCCACCGTTCTGACCAAAGTCCAGGGCTCCGGCGGGCAAGTGGCGGAGCTGGTAGGCCTGGTTCCCATGGTTCCCAGTGGAAGAGGATGATGTTGAGGAAGAGGAGGCAGAGGAAGACAGGGAGGTCATGGACAGATGGCCATGAACCACCTCCATGGAGTCCTGCGTTGAAGAGCTATGTGTCGGGGAGGTGTAGTGGCGTGGGCGCGGACGCGTCGCCATCATCTGCCCATGGTGATGATGAAAATGGGAGTGGGGATGCAGGGCCTTGGGGTGTTGAGGGGGAACGTGGAAGGTGGTCTCCTGAACTGGGTGGGTTTCTCCAGTGACCGACTCCGGTCCAACGCCGCCTCCCCACACCAGTGGAGGTGGGTAAGGCTGTCTTGCCTGTGAATGCCAAGTAAAAGACAGGAGTCAGAACTGAACAGGTGAACCAACTTTTATGACTTTATAGGATTCAACCACATAATTAGCTGCACCTGCTTTGAAATCCTGTAATTACATTTTTTCTATACCATTTTCATAGCGTGCAGAAGGAAATTTACGTTTATTTCTCAAAAAAGTCGTGTCTACCAACACTAAAAATTGTTAAAAATTATTTTTGATTCTATCTGGGATCCTTATATGTCAAACATTAGAATCAACTGGTCCAAACTGGAATAGGAAACTAAAGCGATGGGAATAGACTGTAATGCTGTTTCAAGCCAACGATTTGCCACTCATTTGTGTTTTTAAGTATTGTCTAAGGACCTAAGGATCATTTATTTCTATAATACAATAGAACACTTAACTACAAGGGAAAAAATTTATTTATAAGCCTAGGATTGTTTAAACGACATGGGTATAAATCAGATCAACCACTGGTCAGATGGGAAGTCACGTAGAACATTCTTTGTATTGTTTTATAAAGTAATGTTTTGATCTTTGCATTAGTGTTAATGAAGCAGGGGTTTGTTTTGCAAATAACCTTCTGTGGATCCAGCAACACTTATATATACCGTATATAAAAACATTTGAGTGTCAAAAAATATTCTAAAACTACAAAAAGTTATGATGTATGAAACTACATGGCAAGATTTGCAACAACCATGTAATGCCTGTTTTCTTTGTTCTGTTTTTACATGGCAAACATTAGAACTACCTGTTAACTGAGAAACAAATTCATTTTACAATATATATAAGACTTTTGGGAGAAAAAAAAAGTTATCCTATTAGGTATACATAACTTAAACAAATTTAGTCTCCTAACAAGCAAATGTATATTTTTCTGTAGAATCATAACTAGGTACTCTCTACACATAGAGCGTAAGCTCTTCTGGGCTTTACTTATACAATCCTTCTGAAATTATCTTTAAATTCATGTTATATCAGTTTTAGGAGCGAAAATACTACACAAAGAGCTCATTCAGACCTATTTTTTTGCTCACTGAGGATCACACTACAATTTGACTTGTGTGTGTGCATTTTTATGTGGAAGTAGAGTTAGCAGCAGCCATGATTGTTGGATTCACACCATTTAGCGAATAGAGACAGGAGTGCTACTAGCAGGTCAGGCTAATACTAGCACTGATCCAGTATTGAAATCAACAAACAAAGAGGGCCAACAGAAAAACACATAAAAGACAGTGAGCTCTTGTGGGCCTTCTATGGTTTTAAATCTGCATTATAAGACAAACAAACAAAAAAAATCCACTCTGAAGCTCCCGATTTTCCAGCAGATTTTAATTGAAGGCCAAGATGCATGTTTTAATTTAACAAAGTCTAGGGATACACCAAAATGAAAACTTGGGTTAATATCAATATCTGACATTAATTCTGCAGTTATGGCCAGTAACCAACATTTACTGATATAATTTCCCTAGTCTTTGAACACCATGAAAAACCGATCATAGTGCTGACATTACTTCTCTACTTCAGTGTAACATCCACAAACCAGAGATGCATTAAAATCACGGTCACACAATGAAGAAAAAAAAATGCAACCCCATCCCCTCCCCGCCTTAAAAAACTCAAGCCACCTTAAGGAAATAAATATAGGATGTTGATATCAGCCCAGGATAAATACAGTATCGCCTCTTGGAAGACACATCTAGTGAGTAAGCAACGTTTAACTTTATAATGCTGCGAACTGGAGAACCTCTTAGTTGGAATTTTTTTATTGTTAGAATAACAGAGTAATTATGGCATTACTGAAGTGTTTCACCATTAGCATCAAATTGTGCATGTTCTCAGTCAAAGGTACTAGCAGACTGCTTAGTTAGTAACGCAATTACACCACAATGACAATGACAGTAGCTCTGGTTTCAACCCAAGGGGCCCTCAACCATGTTGCTGCCATGTTAAGGGGCTAAGCCTTGACTGGCAGCTGTTTAGATGGACGTACATGTTAGAAACCATAGAACCACAAATGAGACATGGTGTGTGATGTCATGCCATATTCCATCTAAAAATATACCTCTATTTCTACACCTCATTGTTTTTTTATTTAATTTTATTCATCCAAAATAAGACATTATTTATTGTGTTAGGGTGGAGAATCTTATTTGTGCTAATTTCTTTAATACAAAGCAAGTAAAGTTTACATTAGGAATATAGGATGACTCATTAAACCAAAGCTCATAATTCCAAGATAGCAACATCGGAGAAACTAACTTTAAAGTGGTATATTGGTCGAACGTTCAACATCAATAGAACATAATTCCTTCCTTTGTTTTTTCAAGAAATATTATGTAGCAGGTTAAAATGAAATATCATTCCAAGTGACTTACTGACCTGTGGACAGAGGCTGTCACCATCCATGGCAGGCATGGTCGTGCCAAAGTGTCCTCCACTGTGCAAGTGGTGATGGGTAGGGTCTGACCTTGCTCTGCCACTGGTACTAGTTCCAGATGATCCTCCTAGGTGGTAGAAAAACGTGTCACAAGGACATATTCATCAACTTCCATCAGGTTAAGCTTTCTTGGGCTACATTGTTATACTTATGTAAGCAAAAAATACTTAACATTAGCTACTGGATCAACATGTTAAACCCTAAAACATACAAGCCTGATAAAAAAGTGGTTCTGATTTTTAAAGAACACTGATTCAATTGGGGGGAAAAAAAATATTTCGATAATCTTGTTTATTTTAAGGTACCACTTCTAATTTGAAATTAAAGAAGAGGTCAAACTTAAAGAAAAATCAGAAAGCTGTAAAAGGCACACAAAAAAAAAAAAAAAAAAAAAACACTTCCGCTGACCACTACCTGAACTAGAGGAGGTGCTGGAGGTGGTTCCTGAAGACTGGGACTGCTCTAACGCGGGACTTGTTGACACACTGCTGCTTGTATTGGTCCCCTCATCCGCAGTCTTCTTAAAGAAGCTGTGCTGCAGGGCATAGTAGGGTTGGATACGACTCTTGGGGTCATAATCCAACATTCGTAGGATCAGGTCCTTGAATTTCAAGTAGTCAGCAACGGCATGGCCAGACTCTCCCGCCCGCCGGCCACCTGGACCCCCTGTTTCCACACCGAGGATGGAGTGGAGCTTCCGTGAAGCTGGAGGCTTATACTGTTAAAAAAAAGAAAGACAGAAATTTAAAAAACTAAAATAAGATAAAATCAATTCCAAATATCAAAACCCATCTTTAGTTTCGAAAATGAATTATCAGCGTTTCAGCATTAGAAGAAAACTGGCCTTACCCTTTTGCCATCTTTGGTCTTCTTAACACTCCATGTCCCATCCGAAAGCTTCTCAAAGAACTTCCTGGCTTTTGGGGCTAGGTCCATTATGTGATTAGGTGGGATGCCAAGAACCTCAACTATTTTGTTCATCTGGTCAACCTGGCAGGAAAGAAATATTAATAAGATTTCCTAATCCTGTTTAAAGGAATACATCTTAGACCAGCACATATCAGGATAATCTATATAATAGTTTACCTCATTTGCTCCGCTAAAGAGAGGTTCTCCGGTATGCATTTCTACCAAGATACACCCCAAGGACCACATATCGATTGCCAGGTCATAGGGCATTCCCAGAAGCACCTCTGGGGAACGGTAGAAGCGACTCTGGATATACTGGTATATCTGCGCATAAAAGGTGGAAGAAAACAGATGAGACCTTTTCTCTCGGCCACGTCCATACAGCACTCATTTATTAGACGGCTAGCAGCTTCGCACCCTTTGTCCCAGTTGGCATGAGCTGCCAAAGTCCACTATTTTGATGGCACTCCTCTTAGGGTTACAGAGGAGAATGTTCTCTGGCTTCAGGTCACAGTGGATAATGCTGAGCTCAGGCGTGGCCAGGAAGAGTAGTGCCGTGCATAGCTGCTGGGCAAACTTCCGGGTGAGATTGAGAGAAACTCCGCGGAAGTTGGTATTTCGGAGAAGGTCGTATAGGTTGTATGAAAGCATCTCGAAGACGAGGCAGAGGTGGTTTCGAAACATGAAGTGTCGCTTTAGGTGAACTGCAGCAAATCAGATTGTAATGTTAGTAAACCAAAAGAAAAATGTTTTGTCAGAGAGGAAATACTGTTCTGAGAGTTGATTACCAATGTAGTATTTCATCTCGGTATCATGTTTGTTCATCAGCTCCAGGAGTCGCACTTCTATTTGGGCTTGGTTAAGGAAAGCCTTCTTGTTCTTGATGATCTTAATAGCGACCCATTCTTGCTCTACTCTGTCGTATGCTTTCACAACCTGAGGGCCAATTTTCAGCTCAAATTAAAATTTCTTCAAAAAGTAATTTTTTTCAAAGCAAAATTGTTTCACAAGAATGTAAACAAACCTGTCCGAATGATCCTTTTCCTATCAAGGAATCAATCTCATAACGGTCCATCCACTTCTCCCCATTCTTGACGATGTAGTCATAGTTATCATCGTCATAGCCATCGTTAAATACTTTCCTCTCCTTTTTGTGACTGGAGTCCTCACCCTGACCCTGTTGGTGTCGCCGCTTCTTTTTTGCATAATACACCTGTGAATCCACAAAAAAAAAAAAAACAATATAACCATGCAACGGTTTAGTAAAAGAGAAAATATGACATAACCGTCAACCCAAGATTTTATTTAACATTTCATATTTATTTACAATACAGTTTAGTCAGAAAGTTTCTGTTTTTTTTTATCAACCAGTCTGTTTATGCACTGAGGGCTAGCAAATAAGGTTTAGAAACTGTCTCTGCTTAGATTTTCACTGAAAATAAGCTGAGATATATTTCATTTCAGCTTATATTTTATATATTTAATAAGGAAAACTTAAAGAATGGATAAATTAAAATTAAAAGTTGCATACTAACCTCATTGATGTGTTTGTATGTTTTGATAAGGTCAATGGAGAGCTTCCTCAGGGGAGCTGAAGTTGGGTCACGAAAGCACTGGGGCATGTGCCTCTGGAGTGAAAAAAGTAAAAATAAAACCTCATTACGACAAGGAGCAACACAATTCTACAGGTAAAAACTTAATTTACATATGATTGAGTAAAAAACAAAAATAAATATTAAGCATAACATGACATAATTGAAGGAAATATTTAATAAGCAGCTACTTTTGCCTAGTGACAGAGGAGAAAGGGGAAGCAGTGTTGCATGTTACAGTAAGTATGACGATCCTTTTAAGTGATTTAAATCCAAGGAGTGCAGCAGGATGGGGTTAGGATACCTGATTGGCAGTGAGCTGTGGTGTCTGGTCGCTGTACGGTAAGACCGTAACAGATTGGTCAGTGCTTGGCTGGTGGCGGTCACTGTACTGCTGGTGCGTATGGGGCATTGGAGCAGCCATCTGAAGACCAGCAGTGTGTAAAGAAAAAGAGGGCGCAAGCCGGACGGACGAAGGTTTGCATGCTTAAGTCTCTCCTCCTGAGATAAATTAACAGAAGTTGCATAGACACTTTTAACATTATTTACTAATCCACAGGAAAGGACAGGAGAATTATCTAGATATGAATCAAATGGACATTTAATTACATCAGATATTTAGTACATACATTAAAAAGTTAAAGATTGTATTTTACTGTATTAACAAAACATAAACAAAATGTTATCTTACTTAATGTAGCCGAGACTAAAACATGCAATTTCTTTATAAACATGGAATTGATAAATTTATCATTGTATATAAAGAATGGTTAAATAAAAGCACAAAAGCATTGGTAAATAAATATAGTCCAGTATAAAAAAAACAAACAAACTAAATTATGTTAAGTATAGCAAAAATATGTTGTCAAAATAAATGTCATTTTAAGAGACAGCATGGTTTATTAAATATGATCACTATAATATAATATGAATATAACATTTGAGGATGAGAAACAAAAAGACAACAGCAATAAATCAACCTTTCTGAGGAAAAGGGAGAAAAATAGCAGGTTTAGCAGGGAGAAGTGGTGAAAATACAGCATCTCCACACTGTACAGTGAATCATTCTTCATTTTAAGCCAGAAGGAATCAAAAAATTGTTAAATAGCATGTTCAGCTATCAGCATCTCTCACCAGACAACACAGTTCACCAATGCTACACAGTAACCACTATTCAGAATCCCAGCAACAGCACTTAATTAGCATAGCCTATCACCACAGAGATACAGCGTGATTTGGCAAGCCCATCAATGCACAGACCAATCACAACGCAGTATGCAAATAGCCTACTTTTGTTGCCAGGGCAGAGCTGCTCCCATTTTCCAATGAGAAAACAAGAAATAAACAAGAAATAAAATTGAACTTTGGCACACTTAGACGTTGCTTTCAACACAAGAGCCTGACAGCAAAATAGCTGCACAGCCCAAAACATGCACTCCATCTAAGAGTGTTAGAAAGCTGACCCAGCTTTTGAAATCCAAAGAAGAAAAAAAAAATATATATATATATATCTCGACTGACAGAAAGAAGAGGAACTGTGAGATGATGGTCCACAGAACAGAGACGTATCTAAGAACTAACTAAATTTCATAGTTAAGATATATGGATCCAAATCAGAAATAAATATCTTTATTTTAAAAATAACTTCAATTTAAGCAGTTTAAGAAAATATAAACACTGATATCCTAAGAGGAGTTAACATTCAATCGTGGTGCTATTTGGAAAAAAGAAAATACAAAAAAACATCCTCTTATATAAGAGAAACTTTTCGATTAAACGGAGTTAGACCCGATTCCAAACTTAAAGCAGCAATATATGGGGGAAAGGAAGAGATGAAAAGTAAACTATACCCCCACCAATGGGCTACGGCTTGACATATAATCAGCTAACCTGGATGCATCTTCTGTAAAATTTCATATCATCCTGGGAGAAGAGTCCAGCAGCAAACCACAAACCACTATAAAGAATAAAAACACAATAATAAATTTGTTATCATATATCATCTAATTGTACTCAAGTTAAATTTTGGTTGACAAACAGAGACAAAGTATCGAAAGAAAAGGAAATCCCAGAAACTTTTAGAAGTATGTTGGGATGCCAGAATTCAGTCAAAGTGTATAGCTTTTTTAAGAAGCAAAAATCTTACTTAAAGTGAACTTCTTGTGGTTCACACAAAATATTGAATGTAAAACAGACTTAGAAAAAAAAACCCAGACAACTAGACATGAAGCCTGTGTAATACTGTTAAAAACAAATTTGCTTATTTCACTGTCCAAAGTCCTGAACAGTGAAATAAGAATTATTACTGCTGTGGGCCTTAAAGGGGATTTGCTCTCCTCTCAGTCCATATGCTATTTAAAATCTTCTATTTATGACACGAAATAGTCTTTTAAAATAGACAGTTGTTAGCCATAACCCAGGTGGAGCAGCTATATATACAATGGGGTTGTAATACGGGCAATTGCAAAATTAGTGAGAGCTAAAAAAAAAAAAAAAAAAAAAACTGTGATTTACAGTTTTGTTTTAAACAAACCAGCTTTTACTGAGATAAAATAGATAGATGGTTTTAATTTAATGTAAACATCTATCTAAAAGTCCAGCTGGAGAAAATCAAACTAGAATTTAAAAAAATAGATACATTTTGAAAAACACACTTGTAGCTTTATAGTTTCTTCTAAATGCCTGCTCATCCTCAATGTTCAGTACTAAAATATGAACAGTTCCTACCCTGGCTCTAGTCATTATGGCATCTAAGGGCCCATTTATGTTTAAATATAACGATGGTTAGCTTAAAATTTTAAAGCTAAAATATGGTATAAAGAGATGGGTAGATATTTCAGTAACACGCCTGTGTGTCATCTTCTCACGCCCAACCGATAGATCGATTTCAAAGCTGAATCAAATGTAACTTAACCAAACAATAAAAAAAAGCCCAATGTAAATAGACGAATACCGAATGGCTCTATACTTACAGACGACTGGATAGATCTCGTCATGGTTAGAATTTAGGACGCATATTCAGTGTTAATTTTCCACCCCTGTCTCTAGTTATCGTTCGTGGGAGAATCGAAATCTTCAAATAGATGACAAACGGATTCGAGCTCACGTTACCGTTAGCCAGCTGACTAACTAGCTAACGTTGTCGTCGTTACCCTGAAAACTGCGGGACAGACGAGCATATCTCATCACTAACCCAACGCTAGCTGGTGACGCTGTGTTCAGCCAGCGGGGCTGTGGGGCCCATTCAGCTGGCTCGGCAACAAGTCAACGCTGACCATTAGCCAGGTTAGCTCAATTAGAACAGTTAAATCCGAAATGCACCCTGATGTTAACGCAGTTTATTACTGACAACACGTAAAATGGGGGGAGGTAAGCCTACAGAGCTTCAATCATACAGTGACAGTCTGATATAGCAGGGCTAGCAATAACTGTGCCAGCATGACACTCAATCCAAACTCAGACATATGATTCACAGTCAGCTGGAATGCCCCCCCCCCCTTCCAAAATTAAAATCCATTCCTTGACCTACTGACTGAAAACAAACGTTAAGCAGAACTCAATACGTGAATAGTTAGCTAGCCGCCACACCAAAAAGCTACAATTTTTAACTTCACTACCGCGTCCATCATCGTTAACCATTCATAGAGGATATACATTAAAAAATAGAGAACTAATAAAGGCACAATATGCAGTGAATAGCATAGAATTACTCACCTCTGATGGCACGATCTTCATTTAAAGTCCAATAAACTGTATGATGAGGAAACTTATCCAGCTCGAGATTCTCCCCTCCCTGTACGGGTTAGCAAGTAAATCCAATCCCCTGTCCTCTGGCCGACAAAAAGATCTTAAAAGAACTCGTCAGTCATTTCCAGCAAGCGCTCCATGTCCAAAGCTTTGAACACCAATATCCACAATCGATGCAAATTTATCAAATGTTTTTATCAGCTGATGACAAGCAACATGCTAACTAGCGCTAGCTGACAAAATGAACGCAGCTAACGTTAGCCACTTGCACCGACTAGCCTGAAGCTAACGACTCTAGCTGCCGCTAAATAAACGTTTCGCCAAATTCTGATTTAACTTAGCCTTTGCAGTGAATGTGCTGGTGTCTTCGACGAGCGTGACAACGCGGTTATATCCAGAACATCATTAGCGCTAAACAGAAGCCTCGTCCTCTTATAATTTTTGGTCAGGAATTTTGTGTCAATTTTCACAAAATGGCGCGCGGTCCAAACCTGCGCAGTGAACCGGCCCGGTGGACCAGAGACACGGACAACTGAGTTAGAGCGGCGCCGCCTAATTATTTCCAACTCTGTTAAAACGTCGGCCTCTCGATCTTCTTAATCCATTTCAGTAGACGTGTTTCGATATCCGAAAACCCGAAACATAAATCCACTGACAGCATTATTCCGGCGGGAAGGGAGAAGATTTGAAAAAGACTGAGCTGGGGGGGAAAAAAAAGCCTCCTGACAAAATGGCGATGCTCTAGCTTGTTGCCATGGCAACTGTCAATCAAAAAAAATTGAATACCCGGATGTACCAATGACGAATAAATTCTGAGTTGGCCTGGGTTACAGCACTCACACAAACCCACCGAGTAATACAGGAATATGGAATCTTGAAGAATCATGCTTATAATACTGGTAAAGAATATACTATTACTGTAAATTCGGGGTCTAGAGCCATAAACACATACAACCCCCCCCCCCCCCCCGACCGCCCCCCGTCCCCCAACACACACACATATATATCTATATATATATATATATATATAATTTTTTAATTAAATAAAAAAATAATAATAATTTATTTCAATTTTATATCTCAATACATTTCAATTCAGTTTATTTATATACCGCCAATGCACAACACATGTGCTCTCAAGGCACTTTATAGAGACAATTCACCCAGATCATGCAATCAGATTTGTTGAAAGTTTTCTATTTAAGGAAAACAAGCTGATTGTATTGACTCATTGACTCAAAAGCAATCCCTCAAATAACCTGAGCCACACTAACTATAAGCTTTCTCAAAAAGGAAAGTTTCAATAAAAAGTTTTAATACAGCATGAGATTAATTTCCACTGTTATGTTGATGATACTCAGCTGTATCTGTCTACAAATCCAAATAAGCTGACACATAACATGTGTTGAAGACATAAAAATGTGAATGACTCTTAAAGGGATAGTTCGGTATTTTTGACATGAATCTGTATGGCATCCCCATCACCAGTGTCATGCAATCACACTGACTTACCCCTGGCAGCGTCCTGTGAGCAGAGTTCTCGTCCAGTTTTGGTCAAGCCAAAAGTAGTCAAGCAGGTTTGCTAGACCCAGCGAAATAAAACGTTTCTCTTCCCAAAACATTATGTGTTCAAAAGAGTGATATTTTTGCATCCCAAAAACGTTGTAGTGGAAAAAGTCACACGTCGTTATCACTTGGTCCTATTTTCTCTCTGTTCGTATCAGTGCGCGCCGTCATTCAGACAGCGAGCT